CTCAGAACACATTATCAAAGGCATTCTTTTCCAACTTAACACACATCATTGCCTTCACTTGTAGATTTTGCATCCTCCAAGTTGTTTTTACTTGTCCAGCCTATATTTTATTTTTAAACAAGAGCTACACTACAATAAGCCACACTACTATGAAGCATGCAGTTTGGGACTACAGGATTTCAAGCAATAGTAGTCATTTTTCTTTTTAATATATCAATGTCCACAGTTTTTAAAATGAGCCAAAACTCCAGTGGAAAAGAAGCATACAAATCTAGCACAGAAAGTTCTGATTCAACAGAACATTGAGGATCCCAATGTATAACTGCTCATAGCCAATAAAAAACACTGAGAAGTTCATTCAATTTATGAGACTACTTAATCACATCTCACAAAAAAGCAAGTGATTATCCTGCATGCGAATATCTGTTCTTGCAATAAATAATTTACATTTGCAGCATTTATTTTACTCCATATCATGCCTGTCTTCTAGATCTTTTATAAAAGACTCCAACATTGGAGCAAAAGTGTAATATCATAAGTAGTATAGTAAATATAATAAGTACAGGTCAGTAGGTTTAGAATGAATATAACTTACAACTTTATCTCAACTCAAGTGTTAATTAAATACTTTGTCAACAGGTTAAATTGGGAAAAGAGTAATAAAGAAATGATAAGGCATAGTTCATATATTGGAATTTAGTTAAGAGTGAAAGTTGTGGAGACATGTATTTTATATTCATACATATATGCCAACATTATATAAGTTATATAGAGCTACAGCTACATATTGTTCTAATGCTATACATAGCTATATATATAGTAACACAATTACATATAATTGGTATACAACATACTTTTAATATATAGCTAATGTGTATGCAATGATAGTACATTTGTACATGTTCATTAACATGTACATATATAACATGTATGCATTTAATATACATGAGTATCATATAATTTATATTATGTTATAGTATGTCATAAAAGATCCCAAAATTGAGTTGTTTATTCATTCACTCAAAAAACACTTCTAAAGTAGAACATAGGTTTTCTTAACATAAAATTTTCTGTAAAGATCCATATAGTATGTATTTTAGACTTTATAGGCCATACAATTTCTATCGGAATAATTCTACCCACAATACACAAATGATTGAATTGGGCTATGTTTCAATAAAATAGAAAATTATCCTGTAACCTACAAGGCTATGAGGATCTGGACCTCTGTTTGCTCGCTCTTATCCTAAGACTCTTGCTTGCTCACAGGTACAAAGATTCCTCATCTATGACCAGTAACACATACTGCTTAGTTGTTTCTACTGTAATTCATTTTCCTCATATCTCTTTATAAATTGTTTCCTCTTACCTTTACGTCTTTGTTCTAATATCACTTTCTGAATGAAACTTTTCTTTTCATGCTATTTATTGCCATGGTACACGATATTGCACTTTCCTTATAGGCATGTAGAAAGCTCTGTTTTGTTCTATGGCATTGAGTTAGCCAAGTGGTTGAGAAGAGCACATACCATGGAACAAGAATGTCTGGATTGATTTCTGGCTCTTTTACTTACTGGCTATGTGACTATAGACTAATCATTTAATTTCTACATGGCTCATTTTCATTTATCTGTAAAATGAGCATACTAATAGTTTATATATCATGAAGCTTTTTGAGATAATTTGTTTTTGTACATATATTAAACTATGCAGATGTAACATCTATGTCAATACATATAATTCATGAGTGACTTGGAAAAGGTCAAATTTACGAGTGAAGGGCAATGATGTGTTAAGTTGAGCCACTAATAAATTGGTGCTGGCATTATGGAAAAAAATATGAAGATTCTTCAAATAATTAAGAATGGGAATACCATATGATCCAGTCACCCTCCTTCTGAATATTTATCCGAAGAATGTGAAAACACTAATTCAAAGAGATATATGTACCTCCACCATGCTCATCACAGCATTATTCACAACATTCAAGAGTTGGAAAAAAACTTAAGTGTCCATGAACAGATGAATGGATAAAGAAGATGAACAGATATAAATAGTGATAATATACTCAGCTGTAAAGAACAACAACAAAAAAGATGAACTCCTGACATTTGGAATAACTTGGACAAACCTAGAGGGTATTATGCTAAGTGAAAGTCAGGTGAAAATGACAAACACCATATGATTTCCACTTATATGTGTGAGCAGGAAGATAAAGAAACAAATAAGAGAATGAATGAAACAAAACACAGTCTCAGA